AAGGCATCAGACTTGAAGAAATATACGCCCATCAGAGCAGGCCTTTCTGGAGATGGTATGTGGAACCCCCTGGACATCAGTAAATCCATCTTATCTTCACATGTTTTATTTTATCTGAGGGACTGTTCTCCTCTGATAAACACAAGGGGACACTTCCCTCCAGTTCTTAGGTTTTAGTTTTAAGGAAAACCCCAGTTTTGTGTTGTAAGTGTCCTTTGCATTCAAACCATTACCTTTCCTTATAATAGCTACTCTGCTTTTCATTGTTTTTGTGTATATAAATAATATTGTATCCAAATGTACCTGTATACATTAAGATTTTCCTACAAGAATGGATCATACTGAGATGTAAAATCACAGGTACCAAATCTTTTTTTTTTTAATATGCACAAAAATAATTCTTTCTCCCAAAGTGTGCTGAGCAAGAGTCAGAACAAGAATTAGAGCTAGGAGATAACCCAGACCCAGAAAGACAAATACTGTGTATTCTTTCTCATCAGTGGTTCCTAGCTCCAACTCTTCATATAGGAGCGTATAGCCTGGAGTAATTGCAGAAACCTGGAAAGTAAAAACGTACCATGGTGTTGGTGTTGGTAGGGAGCTAGAGAGGGGATCAGCAGGATGCAGATAATATGACAGGGAAAATGGGAAAAATCGGGAGGATTCAACTGGGGAGTGGGGTGAGAGGTCAATACAGAAGGAGGCAGGGGTGAAGGATATTTGAAAAAGCTGTGAGCATTTATATTAATTTTTTGTTTACTTAAAATCACATATAACATATCTAAGTGTATGCATATACACATACATAACTTAAATGAAGTTATGCCACCTGGGCTGACAATGCCTCCCACGAGAGCCTTAGTTTGTATAATGAAAACCCCAGGACCAGCTGTGAGAACCCTCCCTCTTTTCCTTCAGTGGATCCAGGAGACTCCCAAAGCAATGTACATTGGTGCGGTTGCCCTTGGTTTTCTCCAACCAAGAGGTTGAAAGTGAGTCCCTATTGTTGACTATATCACATATTTTGGACACAGAATTTAGAGATTTCAGTTGACGCGAAAACCTCCTGCCTGGGGACCAGCTTTCACAACATCAGAAGGTACCATGCAAGCTTCCAAAGAAGGAAAGCCACCAACTGTCCCACCCAACGGTAATGCCTATGGTCCCCAACCATAACCAGCATGGCAAGATAACCCCAAGGGTGCAATAGCGGCATTCAAATCTAGGTGATACCCAACATATATCAAATTCGACTTAAGGCCTGTTTAACAGAAGAGAAATCATGCCTATACTGGAACCCTACTTAACTTCCTGAGGCTTGTGAAGTCATGGATCTTAAATGAGAACCCTTTACCACCATTCTATAAAAGCAGCATAATTGCTAATTGCATTCTAATACTTATTCTAGAACTCACAGTTTAGTGTAACTCTTATTCCTCATCAAAGAAACTTCTTTATACAATAGACAAAGATTATTTTGAAACACTGTAAGTGGTCAAAATGCAGAGAACAACTGATTGTGGACTGTCCAGTCCCAAAGGATACATCTACAGCACAACTCCAGTCCCAAAGGATACATCTACAGCACAACTCCTGTGCCTAAGAATACATCCACAGCAAACCCTCTAAGGATACATCTACAGCACAGCCCCTGTGCTAAAGGATACATCTACAGCAAACCCCTGTGCCAAAGGATACATCTACAGCACAACTCCTGTGCCTAAGGATACATCTACAGCACAACCCCTGTGCCAAAGGATACATCTACAGCACAGCCCCTGTGCCTAAGGATACATCTACAGCACAACCCCTGTGCCTAAGGATACATCTACAGCACAGTCCCTGTGCCTAAGGATACATCTACAGCACAGTCCCTGTGCCTAAGGATACATCTACAGCAAACCCCTGTGCCAAAGGATACATCTACAGCAAACCCCTGTGCCTAAGGATACATCTACAGCAAACCCCTGTGCCAAAGGCGAGGAGAACATTACAGAAGAGGGGGTGGAAAGATTTTAAGAGTCAGAGGACCAGGAAAGCTGTGGTGAGATTGTGTCCTCTAGAAATGACAGAACACATATAATACCTACACAGTATGGCTGCCTAGATTATACCTGAACAAGCACACATCCATAGACATGTTGACTTAGAAGGGGTAACAAAGAACAAGCAACAAAGGAAGGCTGAGATCAGAAGATTTTTGTTATCCTTTCCCAGGGAGAACCTCAATTATTGGATAGTTATCCAATATCAGGTGGCCAGTCCTGAGACCATGCACATACAAGCAACATTAAACTGACTTAGTAGGTTATATTTATAGATTTATGTATACATATATTTTTGTAACAATACCAATGAAAGAAAAAGACATGAATTTAAGAGGGTGGAGACAGACATGGGATTGATTGGAGGAAGGAAGAGGAAGCAGGGAAATGATGTAATTATATTTTAATTTAAAAAAATAAAAAATTAAAAGAAGTGAAGCTAGGAAGAATTATATTTTGTGTTCTATGATACAGTGACTAATTCTATTCAGGCATAAAAGAAAAGAAAAGAGAGCATCGTACTTTTCTGAAGTGAGCTTTCTGACCCCACCAAAAGGTAACTTTCCAGTCTAGAGAAGACTGGATTCTTGTTTGATGTTGTTATGTGGATACACTTGGCTAAGTTAGGTCTTAGTCCCAGCAATCATGTTCAAAACACTTCTTGATCTGGTCTGGTCAGTTTGATGTTTTAGTTTTCCTCAGAGTTGTACTTTATAAAATGCCATAATTTATTTTTTTCAACTAACTCCCATAACAAAGATTTGAGATGCACAGAATAGCTAAGGCAGTTCCACTGAAAGGCTGCAAAACTCTTCACATAGTGTGAGAGTCCAGGTTGAACAATTCTTAGTTCTTTGCTTTTTTTCCTCCGTACTGTGCAGCAGACCTTTTGTAGGAACTGTCTCTGATACATTCCCTAGAGAACAGCTCTTTTAAATGGGGCTCTATTGCTCCACCACCAGCTGTAGATGAATATTTAGTAGCAGTGAGAGTAAACGCCACCATTTCAGAAACTATTTCACAACAAGGATGTGAGATGAGTACATCTGGGAGAAGACTAGATGTGAAACTAGTCAAGAAGATTCTTTTGTAGATTCAAGCTCCTAATAGTGTTTAAAAAGGAAGTTTTGATTTCTAAGTCCTTAATTTAAGTGAAGATGAAAATACTTGTGAATAAATCAGTGATATCATGGTGTGTGTGTGGGGGGGGTAAAGAGCAAGTAATGCCTATCAGTTATTAATTTTAGTTCTTCATGTTTATACTTTAATGTGAATAGGGATACTGTGACTCGGAGATGTGTAGGGAAAGAGGGAGGGAGGGCAAGGGGACAGGAAACAAGAAGAGTCTATGGGTGCCAGGTACTAGGATTTGATAAACCAAAGAAAAGAACTCCTGTTCACAGTCTCTGTGAACCTAAAATGACAGTTCTACCTCAATGGAATAAGAATGCCATTTACTCCAAGGCATACCAGTGCTGTGGCCAGGGAGCAGAGATCCAGTGTTCAGTAAGGTAACCATGATTCTCATGGAGGTGCTGGAGAGAACTCCCCAGAACATACAGTGATTTCACTTTCCCAGGCCAGAGGAACTTTCTGGACTTATCCAGGGGCTCAGCCTGAAGGGGTCTGGAGCCATTGTTTTGATTCTCATCACATTCCACAACATGTGCAGGATAAAGTTCAGACACAGTGGGAGGAGATGACTTTGAACTCATGGAGATCCAGATGGATCTCTGCCTCCTGAGTGCTAAGATTAAAGGTGTGTGCCACCACTGCCTGACCCCTATGTCTAATCTAGTGGCTGGCTCTGCCTTCTGATCCTCAGGCAAGCTTTGTTTGATACACAATATATCACCACAGTTGTGGGCTTCCCAACGGACAGATAGAGAAGCCTGGACAAGGGCCTGTTCAGTAGCTGGAAGTACTGTTTCTGAAGTTACATCTCAAAGGGTTGCTAAGGAACTTTTTTTTTTTTTTAAAATGAGATCATAGAGTGGTTTCTGATATGAATCAGATATGATTACAGCCTATGAGGTAAGACCATAGCTCACAAGTATGACAGGGGAAGGCCAGATGTTTTTACTGCAAACAAAAGTTTATTTTCATGTTGGTGAGATTCCCAGGAAATATCTGGGAAAGGAATAAGGCCATACTTAAAGGTCACAGGCACTCAGGCCTTCAACATTATTTACTCCAATTTTATCTGGAAATATCTCTCTAGAAAGGGAATGTCTCTGTTTGAACAACCCTCAAGTCAGTACTGTCAGCTGTGCTATAATTCTGGATTCTCAGCTGGCTTCAACCAGATTTCTTTTCTTTTCCTATCTCCCTTTAATTTTCCCTGCCTGTCTAGTCTGCCTCAAAGACACCTGCTGAATACTAGTGAACACAGAAACTAGGAAGTAGGCAGTGTGGCCTGTGAGGAAGGTGATATAGGCATGTATAAAAGGGAAGTTAGAGTGTATGAAAATGTTTTGAGGGAAAATGAAGGTAAACTATCACTGGCATGGCAGCACACATGTCAGCACACAGGAGGCTGAGGTAGAAGGACTGTGAATTTGAGGCCAGCCTGGCCTACATAGCAAAACTCTGTCTCAGCATGCACACACATGCACACACACACGCACACTCACACACACACACACACTCACACTTAAGGGGAGGACATTCTTTTGTGTCCTAAAAATTATGAGTCCAAAATGGGAAGGAAGAGTTTAGAGGAGAACCAAGAGTCAGGACAAGTTCTGGAAGCTTGAGAGAATTGTGAATGGGCTTGGAAAGCAGTGGGCAAAGAATGCTAGGACATTTTTGTCCATATAGGACAATTCCCAAATCTAACGGTGGGCAGAGCCTAGATTTTAATTAAAAAATGAGTATTGGCAATACTGATACAGACAGAATTAGGAGTAGTTATGGGACAATGACCAATTTTTTATTGCAGAAGCTACTGTGAATGTTGAAGTCTTCTGGAAAGCATCAATTATAGAAAGAAAAGGGATGCTTGTAGCAAGACACTATACCTTGGGTATGTGTTCCCCAGTTACATATGCTGGCTAGACTTAGGAAACTGCTAACACATTCATGTAGTCTCCAGTGTAAAGTCGATGGTAATACTTACAAAAGACTTATTGGAGTCTTGTTTCTGAATACGTCTATGAATTAAGAAGAATAATTTGTCTATGCTCACAAAAATTAGTGAAAGTCACATTTCTTACATGTCTGGACTTCTGTGTTCACTCTTATTGCTGAAAGTATTTGTAACATGGGATAGGGTCTTGTTGTTCAGAAGGAATGTGAAGAGATAACCGCATTACTGTCCACAGATAACTCTGTAGTGTCATGAACCATTTATTTTCCTCAGCTGGAATCCGGTGTAACATTAAAGAAGCATGGTAAATCAAATAATTAGCAATGAATAAGAGTTAGGATCAATCTTTCTTAGAAATGTAATTAGTCATGCCATACAAAGTTAGAGCCAAAAAGTGCAATTGGCCAGAAGACAAAAAATAGAATTTAAAGATAGTTATTTCAAATACAAATCTAAGCAAGCAAATCCTTTGTAAAGTACAGATGGGTGTAGTTACAATGGGCAGATACATTGTTAGTTTGAAGAGTTGGAAAGCGCACACGTGAAGGAGTGTCTGACTGGTGAGGATGCCCTGTCATTGTTTTTTTCTTTAGGCTACACTGTGCTTTGCATTATTTTAACTTGAGGCACCACACCCCTATATATGTTGCACGTAAGTGTTAATATCAGATGCTCAGGACCCAGAAAGAGGAAAATTGAGAACAGAATAAATACTAATGCAATCCAGAGACTTCTTCCTTAATGACCTTAATGACAGCTATTTCCTTGTCCCGAAGATCCTTCTCTTTTACCCATCCTCATCTTCATCAGATCTTAAGGATGGGCCTTCCCAGTTCCATGGGACACTAAACATATGACGTCTGTGTACACCCAGTGTGGTGCTTGGTCAACAGGATGAACTGAGGAGCTGAAGTCCTCTCATGATGCCTTACTTGTGTTGAATGAAGTTGCTGCAGACTGATCTTGGCTGAGTAGGAGCATCGTGTTTGTGGAGAAGTGGAATGCTGCCGGCTGAGAGCCCAGTTTACCTTGATCTAGCCCAGTTCTTCAATAGTCATTTATTTTCAAACCTCTGTATGTGACCTAACATCCTTGTGACTGTTAGGTGAAACTCCCGGAGCACGTCTCAAACCTTAGCAGACCTCTAGCCTCCTCCAACCTTAAAGGTGATAACAGCAGAGAGTTTCTGAGTCCTGCAGAAACGATTTCCATTCTGTGCTGTAGCTGATGACCTGATGCTTCCACAAAGGTATTTGGTGAATATCCTGATTAATGATCTCTTGTTACATGAATATAAAAGTTCATGTACCCTTTTCTAGAGAAAAAAAAAACCAACAAAAACAAAAAACAGGTCATCCAGGATAACTTGAATCTGTTTTCTTGGCCAATGTCAATCACTGGCTCATACAAACTCTTTTCTTTCCTTAAGTAGAGTTATTCTAATTTGACATTTCATTCCATAAAGTTGTCTATGTCTGAGCATAGACAATGATATGAATTTTTTTAATCTTAAAAACAAAAATTTAAACTACTGTGATATGATTACATTTCCAAGAAGATCAACTTCAACCAAACTTTGGGACCTGATCCTAGAGAGCTGGTATGTAGGAAGCATGCCTTCCATGGAGAATTAATCTTACCCACTGTTCAACTTACCCCATTCTCCATCAAAGACCAGGGCCATTCAGGCTCACAGGATGAAAGTTGGATGCGTTTAGGCACTTTTTTTAAAAAAAAATAAAACAAATCTATGTTATTTTTGTCAACTGTGATAAGAAAGCATACCAGCTACACAGCCTGAGGGGTTCCTGTTTGCTCCTCAGAGAAGTATGGGCAGGTGTAAACACACTGACTGATTCTTAACTTTTCTACCACCTTGGTAACATTTTATTTCTTTAATTATAAGAGTGAGACATAGAGCCGGGCGGTGGTGGCGCACGCCTTTAATCCCAGCACTCGGGAGGCAGAGCCAGGCGGATCTCTGTGAGTTCGAGGCCAGCCTGGTCTCCAAAGCGAGTTCCAGGAAAGGCGCAAAGCTACACAGAGAAACCCTGTCTTGAAAAAACCAAAAAAAAAAAAAAAAAAAAAAAAAAAAAAAAAAAAAAAGAGTGAGACATAGATGCTGACCCTTTTGTGGTACTGGGGATTGAACCCAAGGCCTTGTGCACACTAAGCAAGTGCTCTATCACTGAGCAACATCTGTCGTCATACAGCAGAGGAAATACTGTAGAAACCTTTACAGAGGGGCACCTTTCAGAGAAAGGTATAATTCTTTCTCTTCAAACCCCTATCCTCAAGCCAACTCCATAGTAGGACAACATTGTATCCAACTCAGTACATGTTCCCCTTTAACAACATGAATGCAAGTGTGAAAGTGTGCACACTCACAAGTTCACAGAGTTCTTAATATTTTCTACACAGCATATTTTCTCTTATTTTTCATTCATTCATCCAATCTTTTCCTGTGTATATGCACATTTTGCACACACTATAGGCATATTTAAAGGCAATTTGTAGATAAAACCCAGAGACTGTGGTGAGGTGAGATAATGCTAAGTAAACTGGACAAAGGCTATTGGTTTATTGTAAAGAATTAAAGAAAAAGGATGAAGAATAGCTAGGGATGCTAGAGGGTAGTATAGTTTCCCATTTCATTTATTTAATCAAATAGATTGACAATTACATCACGAGGATGTGAACTATCAGACAAACTGAAAGGTCAAATGTACTAAACCCTAAAATATCATACCCATAGTGTGACACTATAGGTAGAAAATTCCATGTCGTGCCAATTCATTTCATGCACAAATTCAGAACATTGTATAAAAATGACTTGAGTTTTAGGTTTAAGTAACAGTAAATTTTGTGTTTAAACTTGGAAATTTCAATTAATCTACATAAATATTTCAAAATCTGAAATATATAAAATATAAAACATTTCTGATGTTAGGCATTTCAGATAAGAAATGCTCAACTGATATTTTAATCTTTGAAGCATGGATTTTTTTTTTTTTGGCCTAAATGTATTAATTCACCAAGTCACTTAACTCTCTTAAACTTGCCTTTACTTGCTGATGGAGTGATCAGAATAGACTTGATATTATCTATGGTCCTATCACTGGTTAATACAATGATTTCCTAGGAAAAAACCTTCCAGAATTTTGTTAGGTACAAAGCAGTCTTTGTGCTGAGATATCCTTGGTGTTTCCTCCCTGCTTCCCACATGAGTTTGCTAGGACTGTTCCTACGGTCACATTACACCCTCACTTTCGGAGATTGCCTGCACTTCTCTGTGCAGCTGGAAAGGGCCTTTTCAGACCTTATCACATCTGTTTTTTTCCCAGTTATCCAGTGATGAAAATAGGGCAAATATTCTGTTAATCTCTATTTCATAAATCAAGGATTAAGTTCACAGGGCTCTTGCAGAAATCTGATGCCTGCCTGTGTTGTCTCTGGCACCGATGAGTGAGTTGACATGCCTGAATGACCTGCAGTCATTACTGTATCTTATTTGAAAATTTTAGGTGTGTATATTTTTCACAATAAGGAACTGATTCTTGATACTAAGAAATATGTTTTTATGTAAGCAGGCTGGCCTTGGACTTCTGATGCTCCTGCCTCTGCTCCCGAGTGCTAGGATGACCGGTGTATGCCACTACCCCTAATGTGAAGACTTAGTTTTTTTAGCTGAAGGCAAGCATAAGGAATGCTCTACTGTATAAGCAGCATCTTCCATCCTGGGGAAGCTGGAGGCTTCCCTGACTCCTGGATCTTACCTCTATTTTCCAGGATCTGCAGACAAGAAAGCCCTCGCAGCTCTTGGTCTCCTGGGGCTCTAGGGGCCTTTTGGTTCCTGCTTCTTGCAATGGCTATTCACTTCTTGTCTTTGTCAAAGTTTTATTTGTTCTTTAAGCTCAAGGGTTACCTGCCCTGTTAATTATTTGCTTATAGTTATCTATACACATAGGTGCCCCATCTTTGTTCACAGCAACCCTTCCTTCCTTCCTTCCTTCCTTCCTTCCTTCCTTCCTTCCTTCCTTCCTTCCTTCCTTCCTCCCTCCCTCCCTCCCTCCCTCCCTCCCTCCCTCCCTCCCTCCCTCCCTTCCTTCCTTCCTTCCTTCCTTCCTTCCTTCTTTTTTGGTAGTTCTGGGGACTGAACACAAGCCATTGCTCATACAATGTCCATTACAACCCTTATAGTCTCCACTGGAGCACACCTTTCCTTTCTTTCTACCTTGTAACTAAGCGTCCTAAAGGTAAAATTGAAAGTATCATTTTTTTTTTCTTGCTAGCACTGGGAGTGGACACTGTAGTCTCAATGCATGCTGGACAAGTCTCTCAACCATGAGCTCCATCTCAGGGGGCATCTGGTCACTCTTGTGGTCTGAGATAGCATAGATCATGATACACATTCTGAAAATACGTATTAATTAAATTAGCTTCATTGAAGATTTTTAAGTTAACATTTTAATAAAACTTTGGTCATACTTCCAATGTAATTTGTTGTGGGAATTTTCCCTTTCCTTATTAGTACTCAATGTTTTACTTTTTAAAATTGAAAACACTCATAAAATTATATATGGGCAATGAAAACCTTTCTTCTTCCATGGAACTATGTGAAATGCTGATCCCCTGCCTCAGCACCTGGGATGATTGAATATAGTTTTCTTCCATTATTTGAACATGCTCATTTCTAGGATTTCAAACACAAGAAGGTATTCCAGGTTTATCTTTTTTTTTTTTTTTTTTTGTTTTTTCGAGACAGGGTTTCTCTGTGTAGCTTTGCGCCTGTCCTGGAACTCACTTGGTAGCCCAGGCTGGCCTCGAACTCACAGAGATCCGCCTGGCTCTGCCTCCCGAGTGCTGGGATTAAAGGCGTGCGCCACCACCGCCCGGCCCAGGTTTATCTTTTTAACTGTGGTCTTCATAGCCTGGAAATCATCCATTTCCACAAGTAGCCCTGGTTCCATATAGAGGAGAAAAGTACTTAGAAGTCAAGCTTGGTCCTCTAGCTGTGTTCACTGATATTCCAGGCCCTCTCAATGGATAAGGCAGGAGCTAATTGCAGTGATTCCTCTATCTGCCTGTTTCAATACTAGAAACTAACAGTCAACACTGATATCTCAATTCTAGCCCCAAACTACCAGTTCAGTCTAATTCCTGCCCCCGCCCCCCGATATTTGCAAGTACCTTCTTGGACAGTGCGTGTATCAGCAGATGACATATAACATAGCCATACTTGTTTGATTCACAGATTTCCTTATATAAGGCTCGTACTTACCATTCTGATTGTCTCTCTTTCTCTCCCAGACCCATGGATTTTTTTTCCCCATTATGCAGGCCATGCCAGGCCACTGCTTCTTTTGGATACACCCTTCTCTTCCAGGTGGGCTCTGGCAAAGCACACTGAGAAGGATGCTTCCTGAATCATCTTTGAACTCCAACGGCCTGCCTGTGTGCATGTATATAGCCTTGACTCATTAGGGATATATTTTCTGACTTCGTCTGTCTCTTCCCCTCCTTCCACACATTCACGACCTTGTTTAGTCTCTACTTTCCTATGAAGATCCTTCTGGCCCTCCAGGCCCTTCTCCCTTAGTCAAGCTCCGCTGTGCCACTACGATCTTCTCCACGTGGATGCTATTTATTGATACTCCTTGGGGGAAAAGGGAGGCAAGTAAATGGGAGGGAAGAGGAAGCAAGTAAACCAGAAGTACTTTCCTTAAGAGCAGTAGTTCTCAACCTGTGGGTTGAGACCCTTTGGCAAACCCCTATCTCTAAAAATACATACATTGTGATTCATAACAGTAGCAAAATTACAGTTAGGAAGTAGCAATGAAAATAATTTTATGGTTGGGGGTCACCACGACATGAGGAACTGGATTTAAGGGTCGAAGCACTAGGAAGGCTGAGAACCTACTGCTTTAGAGTCCTTAGTATTTCCACTAGGACAGAGAGACACACAGTTCAAAAATGTAAATTTGCTCCATATTTGCTACAGTAACAAAGGATTTGGGTTGAGAAAATCTTGAAGTTATTAAGAAAAAGTGGGCTGGGGATACAACTCAACGGGTAGAGTGTTGCCTAGGCTGAGAGTTAGGTTGGAGTCCCACCACCAACAGGAGTGGTAGGGCAGGCCTAAAACCCAACACGTGGGAGGTAGAGGTGGGGATCAGAATGTGAAGGTTGTTTTCAGTGACACACATTGTGAGTTTGAGGCCAGTCTGGTCTATATGGGACCATGTCTTAAAAAACAAAAACACCTATAAAAATTGAAATCAGCAGTCTTTTCAATTGCAGAATTAAATTCTTAATTCTAAGTGTTTTCATTTTTCATGTTCTACATGACTTTCAAATTAGATACTTAGAAACAAAAAGTCTGGATGGATTCTCAACTTGGCAAATTATCTTGTTTCTAGGTGAGAAAACTGAATAGAAGAATCCTGTGTTTGTCAATGACTTTCTACATGATTGAGTCAGAAACAGGAAGGACATATTTCAAACCCTCTGACCAATATTCATAGCATACAAATCTTGTTTTTATAATTTAAAACTACTTGAACTTCGAAGTACATCTCTAAAGACAGTATATATTTTGTGCATTGTACCTTATGGTTTAAACTGGCAGCCTTTTCATTACAAGTTATATTACTGATAAAATGCCACATTTTGGATACTGAACAGAATCTGAGTAGATCTATGATGATTATAATTTATTAAGGTAGAAGACTAGAAATTAGCCCTAATTATCTGTTAACTTTCAATTTTACGATTATTTTCTCTTAATCACATACTTGCATTGTACGAACTGTACTTAAGTTTTCAAGCAGCTTATTATTTATTTTATTATTTTATATGGTTTGATTGGCTGGCAAATATATGCATAGACATCAGTGACTGTCAAATAAATTTTTCTAAAAAAATCACCATGTAATGTTTGTATTATTGACAATCCAGTCATTGCACTTGTTCCCTAACCCAACACCTCAGCACACCATTGTATCCCCCAAGTTAGTTGTGGATATGCTGGAAAGAAAAGAACAGCTTATGGGATGGAGGCCAGCCTTTTAAAACGTCCATTCATGTGCAGATGCCACTTGTTAGTCACCAAAGCAAAAAGGAGAAACAGGACACGGTCCATTTAAAACTCCAATAAAAAGCTTACAGAGACTTGTCAGCTGGGTCCTGTAAGAGCTCCTTTGTGTGATCATCAACTTACTTTTGGCCCTTAGGTGAGAAATTCGCCCTTCGTGCATCAGTGCCCTTCTATAAATGAATACCAACGAATGGATAGATTTTTCTTTTCTTTTCAATTGGAAAGAATCCACCCTCAAGATCATTCAGTCCACTGCCTTTCAAGGCAGGGCTTTTTGTGTCATGTGTAGACGAGTGCTCACCCGGGATCTGTTGATCTGAATTGCTTCCAGTCATGAAGAAATTATTCTCCACATCGCCGCTGGGTGCACTTAGGCAGAAAACTTCCTCCTGGCAACTGCCCTGATACAGCTGCCCAATGCCCCCGCTGAGAGACAGCGCATAACCCCACCTTCTTTCGCAGGACAGTCCTTCAGCTGTTCTCACCTAGACACCCATCTTCCTGGAATTTTTCCTCCTCCTCCCCACCCCCCATTCTCTCTCTCTCTCTCTCTCTCTCTCTCTCTCTCTCTCTCTCTCTCTTCCTCTGTCTGTCTCTGTGTGTGTGAGAGAGAGAGAGAGAGGGAGGGAGGGAGGGAGGGAGGGAGGGAGGGAGGGAGGGAGGGGAGAGAGAGAGAGAGAGAGAGAGAGAGAGAGAGAGAGAGAGAGAGAGCGAGAGCGCCAAATTTCTTATGAGTAATAGTTTCTTTTTCCTTCCACCTCCTTGTTCTTCTGTTAGCTGTGGGTCTGTTTTTGAACTTGCTGTTCTTTGGAGGGTAAGAACACCCACCCTGAAAGGCATGAACAGCACTTTGAATTCTTTTTTAGCCTTCTGACAGCCAAGCTGGTTTCACTTTATTTCTGGATCGTTTCATCCACCGGATACAACCTTTGTCCCCAAACACCACATTCACTTTACACAAACTTGTTGACCTCACACCCAAGTCAGCTTTTCTTGAACCTTCATCTGAACAAATAAACATTCCTTGTGATCTGCGGATATCCCGAGCGGCGTCAGGAAGGGCCCGCAAGGACCGTGCTGGCTCAGCTAGCCCACCAACAGGCGACTGATTTAGTTTCCTCTTTCTCCTCTGATTTTAAGAAGTGAGGCAAAAAGCCAATTCCTGTTAATTTCTCAGACAATGCAAGGGGTCTAGACTCCGTTCCAGGAAGCTGATTCCTTGGAGGTAACAAAAAAGTGGGACCGGACACCAGAAAGGGGGCTAGGGACCCCATCCTGGAGGCAGCCTTCCGGGAGGGAGCAGGCACCCCAGCGGCTGGGTTGGCAGACCCAGAGGTAAGCGCCTGGGCTCTGCGCCGCAGTGTGGACACACTTGGGAGCTCAGCCTAGGGGAGTGTGACACCACGTGCTGCAGAGGCGGGGACAGCACTCTCCCTCCCCCTCTTATCTCTAAAGGGTGCAGGGCAGGATCCCAGAGTTTCCCCGAGATAGAGGGGCGATACAGAGAGAGAGAGGGAGAGAGAGAGAGAGAGAGAGAGAGAGAGAGAGAGAGAGAGAGAGAGAGAGAGAGAGAGAGAGAAATAAATTTTGAACCTCAGAGACCGACATAGACCGAGAGGTGAGAGGCTACTGTCTCCTTCCTATCAGCTTGCCAAATCCACAGCCAGTAGAGAGAGGGTCCTGCCTAGATGAGAACCTGGGGGTCTTGAAGGCGAGTTTCTCTGCAGCTCCCTGGGGGGTAACAGTCCCTACCCTTCCACGTCTGCCGCGCCAAAATAAAGCCTCAAGACAGGAAGAGGAGTTGGGGTTGCACAGTCAAGAGAGGATTTAGTTCCCCGAAGTGTGGCGCGGTTGGGGCTTTATATCCGGGACAAGCGAGAGAGTCACCACACTGTAAGCAAATCCTGGGGCCTCAGCAAACCCAGCTCCGGGCAGCTGGCCCCACGCCCGGCTTGGAGTTCGAGACTCTGGCCACGCTGTGCTCCGGCCCCGCAGGCTGCTGACCCTGTGGCCTTTATCTCTGTCCCCCTTTGTTCCTTTTATCTCAGGCTCCGCAGGAGGCCTGGAGGGGCCACGCTGCCTATCGCCTCCTGGCTGTGCTAGCTCTTCAATGCCCTGAAGGTCTGGAGTTGCAGAGGACCCGGGGCACCGAGTGTCTTGCTAACTGGGCCAGGCAGTGACGCGAGACCGTCGGCCCTCCCACCCCAAGGGCACTGACATCAGGGCACCCACGCGGGTCCCTGCATCCGCCGGCTCCGGTGCTGTGCGCTCCACGATGACTCCCGGCCGGGCAGTGGCCGGGCTGCTGCTGCTGGCGGCCACCGGCCTGGGACACCCCGCCGAGGGACCGGAGCTCGCCTTCAGTGAGGACGTGTTAAGAGTGTTCGGCGCCAACCAGAGTCTGTCGGCCGAGCAGCTGGGGCGCCTGCTGGAGCGGCTGGGGGCTGCACCCCACCCGGGAGCGCTGGAGCTGGGGCAGCTGCACTTCAACCAGGTAACGGGCGGCCCGTGCTCCACGGTTTCCACAGATTTCCATCCCCAGAGCAGCCTTTTCTAGGAGGGAGAAGCGCCAGAAAAAGGGTTTTGTAAGTTTAAGTTTGAGGCGGTAACTGATGAGTGGCACTTCATTCTCACTGTTGATTCACCAGGACTCAGGGATTAGTTGTAGGACTCTGGCAGCCAGAATGATTAACTGAGCCATCAGAGACTTTTTGGTCTATAGAAAAATTATTAGAAAGGTTTATGAAGTAGTTGAGGGAGGGAAGCCACCCAAAGACATGCGTTTTAGAAAAGAATGGTATTTTTCAATCTTGCGGAAAGAGCCATTTACTTAACTTACACAGTCAGCAGAAGGAACCTGTCACATGCGGTCCTTATCAGCTTCAGGGTGAGTGACCACTCCCACTTGAAAAGCGCTTTTGTGTATATTGCCTAAGGCTATTGTAGCTGAAATGGCACAGTGTACAGATGGGGAAACTGAGGACACCTTAAACTCAGATCACACCGTGGTTGGTGATTCAGTTGGTGGCAGGCTGGCATTGGAGTTAATCTCTAATCATCGACATGCCATATAAAGTGTTTATTTCGCCGGGCGGTGGTGGCGCACGCCTTTAATCCCAGCACTCTGTGAGTTCGAGGCCAGCATGGGCTACCAAGTGAGTTCCAGGAAAGGCGCAAAGCTACACAGAGAAACCTTGTCTCGAAAAAAACCAAAAAAAAAAAAAAAAGTGTTTATTTCTAGAATTCATTCAAAATAATAAAACACATTTCTCAGCCTTAGATTTGAGGGCAAACTTGAACTTTAGAGGGTAATTAAAAGTCACACTTGTCACAGGGCTGGGCCTGGGGCTTGGTGATGGAGGAGGCCCCGAGTTCTATTCCCCGGCACTGCAAGCCAAGGGAGGGGGCAGCTAAATCAATGCTTCATTCTCCAGTTCCTGCTTACCGACTCATGTTAAAGAGCAGATGTAGCAGTTCATATATCCTTTATCACTTTGGGGCAGTGGTGGTTGGCTAAGATATTTTGGGAAATTCTGCGTTCTACAAACTCTGCTTTTAGAAACATGGCATTTTCCAACAGGTGTGATTTTTGATTATAACTAAGGAAATTTTACTCAGATAAATTCCTTGACGTTCATCAATACTATAGTTAGATTGGTTTCTCCCTCCCTCCCTCCCTCCCTCCCTCCCTCCCTCCTTCCCTCCTTTCTTCCTTCCTTCCTTGGGATTTGAATTAGACACATTATGTCTTGCATGTGAGTCAAGCACTCGACTGCTAGCTATAGCCCAGCCCCATGATTTTGTCTCTGTTAGTAATGTCTTTCACCAGTTAAAATGTATACAATTCAAGATGCAGAGGTTTCTAGTGTCATGAACATGGTCTTTCTTTGATCTAGAAGGATTTTGTGATGCCCTTATGCAGAGTTTTTAAATATAATCAGTCTCTAGTTCCATTTCTTGCATGTTTTTATATTTGATTCAATGTTTGAAAAATTACATGTTGCAAAGACTGAAATGTCCACACATTTTAATGACATATTTTGAAATAAAGCAAATACCATTGTAGGTATTTTCTGGTCTAATTACTCTGTCTTCTTTTAAAGGAAAAAAAAAATAGCTGAGCTGACTAGTTTCTAGGTAGGTGTGGCCATTTGCTTGGAATGAAGTTTAGGGACTGGGCTTGGACTGTATCTGTAGCTCACATACTGTGCTGACTTAAAGGATAGCCTTATCTGGCAGTGTCTGAAGGTGAATTTTGAAGGGGCCAAAGACCCCAAGCTACCCTTGCAAAGATAGTAGAGGGTATGCCTAAACATTTTAGGAAAACTGGTTGAATTTACTAGTAACACAATTCTCGGTTTCTAAGCTGGTGGGGTGTCTCAGGAGGTAAATTATATGTTGATGGCTTTATTCTCTTTCTCAAGTTTGCATGTGCTCTCTCATCATGAGCATCAAAAAGAGGCAGGAAGAAGCCCATAATTAGCTTGGAAACAGAGAGAAGCCAAGAAAAACTCCCGCACTAATCAGGCTTAACAAACATCTATTTGCAGTTCTCTGAAGTCTCAATGAAAACAGCAATCACTGGTGAAATGATGGCAATGCTTATCTAGAAGAATCCATTAATTCACTGGTAATTGATAGCTAGGCTTGCCAAGGCACTCAGATGTGCCCCAGCATAAAACCATCAAATTCGAAATGAAACTTAGGACCTTTAATGTCTTCATACTCAAAAGAATAAACTTCACTTCCCTGTCCACCACAGAGTAGAAAAAAGCAAAGTCTCTTGAGAGAAATTTAATTATCTGACTTTGAAAGAGTCTGAGAATGTAGACGCTTTCCAGGGCCCAAAATTTACTTAATCTACAAGGTCTGTCAACAAAATTGTACTTTTGGGTGAGAGCTTTGAAAGCAGTTGAATCAGCTTCTCTCAGGTAATGGACTATTGGATGTGGCAGGTTTGTTTGATGAATTTGGAATTTTTTTGAGGGGTGGCGGGGGCGGGGGTAATCACAGGTACCATTACTTTGCTGCTTTAAGAAAGAGAAGCACCTTGCATTCACCGTGAAGACAGTAAAACAATTCAGTTTACCATTTTGCTTTTTAATGGCTACTGAGGGTAAAAAGAGTTAGGTAGAGCAACCCAAACTGTTGTGAGAAAGAGGGCCTTGGTAGCCAAATGGCCCCTTGACTGACACGGAGACTGATTTGTCCCAGGAAATGCTTATAATACACAAGAAAGGCCCAGAGGTCAGACTATCTAGGAATGATGGCTCTACCTTCTGTTTGTTCCCATTCTTTCCCTTCTTTCTTTTTCCTTTATTTCCTCTTCTCAGGAACCTTATTGCCACATTCTCTCCTGTGGACACTAGTTAAACAGCTGGACAGAAGGGAAAAGCTCATTTTCTAGATCATCATGCTGACCTCCAGGAACACCTCCAAACAGTCCTGAGGTTCTGGAGTAGATGGTAGGTGGCACTGTGACCTTTGTTCCACACTGTCCCTCTCCCTGACACATGGGCTTCAGTTCCCCAGCTCTTTTGCTGTGTATCTTACAGCTGTCTCCTGTATCAGATACTTCTCTGTCACATTC